TATACCCCGGTTGTTTCCTCCACCCTAGTAGCGATGGCCTCCAACCTAGTAGCGATGGCCTCTCCAACCTAATGGCAATGATGGCCTCCAACCTGATAGCAATGGTGGCCTCCAACCTGATAGCAATGGCCTCCAACCTACTAGCGTTTATACCCCGGCTTCTGTAGTTACAGGTGAACGGCCTACTAGTACCAGCAAAGCGCAACTGGTTTTCCTTGAGCCAAACGTAGGGCATGTGAGACATGTATACAGTATACTCGCGTGAAACAACACCCCCCGCTGAACGAAAATGGGCGGAGTGAGCTCTATGTACAGTGCGTGAAACGAGGACCTACAAAGACAACCGGTCCCCCGGTGCGCACGAGACGAGCGAACCGGTCGTGCCTTGAGATGGAGAGGAAACTTGACCTCAAGGACACTGAATCGAATGCACTGTAATCGCTCGCTGCTAGTGTCAAAACATGCCACACGGCTCATCTATGAAGTCAAGTCGAATTCGTGAAGTTATGCATCAACACTCTTCTTTTTAGCGCATCGGAACGGATGGTACAGAGCTCACCTTTTAGAAAGCAGAAGCAACACCATAAGGCACACGCTCCCACGTGGCGAACCTGCACATCAAAAGTACACGCGCATCGAATATGCGGTGATTCAGAGCGAGGTTCATCGACCTAAGCTCAAAACGAATTAGCTGATGGTTGAGGCAACCGGTCCCCCGGTGCATAGCAGAAGCGATTTGATTTCAGGGCAACCGCTCCCGCGGTGCGATGAGGGATGCGCAGCGCTCAATGGAAGCGATGTCGCCTATTGGAACTATTTTTGGTTTTGTTTTGATGTTTTGTCCACAGGCAACGACTCCCGTCGCGCGGTGCTTCTACCAGCGGCGCTGGCTCCACCAGTCATTCCTGCGCCAATCTCGATTGCGATCCCCGGTCTTCGCGCCGCCACCCGTGAGAAGACTGGCCCCGCCACGACGAACTCGATGAAGATGATCCACGCCACCAACCTGAGTTCCATCGCTGCTCGGCGGACTCAGCCTGCGTCTGAGCAGCCCTTGCTAGGGATTGGCCGGGTCCAATCGCTGCCTTTGCCTTTGGGATGACCAAAGCTGTTGACTCCTTGACCAGCTCAATGTTAGGCTAGGAATCCTCACTGACAACAGCTCATCAAGGACGGCGTCAGGGTCCTTGGTGTTCGAGGTCCATTCGCCACTGAAGCCCAAGATCGGGGGGCGCTTTTAGCCTTTGCAGTAATCCGCTACAAAGGTCTCTGGACGACGCAGGCGGTTCTTCCGATAGATGAAGAAGTCTTCGCTCAAATCCGCCTGCTCCCCCTTGGCGATTTCGTTCCTGTGTCCGATGCCCTGGGCAATCATCTCCCTTGTCCTCGGAGGGTCAGGGATGACAGCATCCGATAGCCTCTCAAGGAACTGGATGCAAACAGGAGACAGGTCCTGGGCTGCACAGTTGAAGGCATAGAGAGGGTCGACGGATTGCCGCTGCGCAAATGGTAAGGTTCATCTTCTCCGCCTTCTGTACATGGCTCTTGGCGTTTGCCTTGAGGATATTGATCCCTGAGCGCGATGCTCTCGGCTTCTCATGTCCCCGCCGGCGTCTTTCTCACACCAGATCCCTGCAGCCGATCTTCTGGCGCCAGCCATCTAGTCTTTCCGTATCCCTCCTTCTCGGGATGAGCAGCCCTCCAATCGAAACGTGGCTTTAAGTTTGCCATCATGGTCTCGGGCGAGACTTTGTTCCGATAGGCGTTGAAGTTGGGCTTGCGAACAAGATACGTAATCTCATAGACCTCAAGCTCAGGGTTGCTCTTCCCGCTGACCATCTGGTCCCTCACTTCGTGGAGCTGGTTGATTTCGCCGTAGACAAAGGGTGAAAACGTGTCCACTTTCCCGCGCCAGTACTCGTAACCATCGAGCACACGGTTGGTGCACTTTTCGAGCGGACTCATCACAGTTACTTCATCATTGGCATCCGGTCCCCGGGTGCGAGAAGCATAGAACGCTTTCGTGCTCCGTGCCTACCGCGAGCGTAGACATGGTTCGCGAAGGCATAGCACTTGGACTGCGTGTCATAGACATACATCACACAGCGGTTGGCAATCCAATCGGGGCACAAAATCGTTCCATGAGTCGATGGCCATTGAGGACGATCATCTGGAGGTCAAGAGCTATGCAGATTGGGCGCGTCGCCGCCATTGCAGCATATAGTCGGTACCGGAGATGGTCCAGGGGTCCTCCTTGGTGAGGAAGGTGTATTTTGCCCGTGTCCGGTTTGCGCCCGGGATAATGCCCATGTTGACGGTGTCAAGGAGGGCCGCATGTCATACTCCGGGTCAAGGCAGATGAATCGGTCGTGCTCCGGAAGAGCGTCCGGGTCCGAGGCATAAGACCACTCGTTGTGGTTCTGAATGGCCTTCATTTGGAGCGGGGTGCACTGGTATTTTTCACCGACCAAAGTCCCCTTTGGCGCAATCTTCACCTCCATCATGAACCGATGGTTGGATGTAATGACTCGGAGCAGCTCGTCATTCGTGAGATTGACGGCATACTCCTTCTTGATGAAGGTATACGCCTTCACATAATCCATCCAAAGGCCCTTGTCAAACGAAGGTGGCTGCACCCTCTGCCAGGTCTTCCTGTTGCGTTCCCAACCACGGAGCAAGCCGCTGAGTCGGCGAGACAGCCATACCGGCCATACCTGACTTGAGTTCAACTCGACTGCAGCGCCACAATCTCATTTTCACCAAGCGGTGATGAGTCAGCTGGGATAGGAGGTGCACGAGGCATTGCCTTTGCCTTGACGGCAGGCGCTGTACCCAAGGCCGTAGCTCCCGCCGGGCGTTTTGGTATTCTGGGCTCAGGTTCTCTTGACTTGGCGTCATTTCGACATCGGCCTCAGCTCCCGCCAGGCGTGATTTTGTCTTTGCTTCACACGCCTCCTCAGGCACTAGGGGCGCTGCTGATTTAGCCTTTGCTTGCACCTTCGGCTTCTTCTCGACGACCGCCTTGTTATTGTTGCCCAAGTCAACCTCGCCTCGGTATTGTGTGACCTCGCGGAACCGTCTGAGAGCTTCGCCCGTGAGGACAGGAACATCTTCCTCGTCCATGAAGATCCGGATGACGTCGCTCTCATCGGAGTTCTTTCTCAGCTGATATGTCACACTGGCAACCTGGCAAGCTTATTCCGCAGTTCCAAAGGAATGGCGGTGAGTATAGGCTCTTTGAACAGGACCTCAGGATCTCCTCATCAGGATCAGATCATCAGGTTGATCCACGTTTTCGAAGCCCTGCTTGTTAGCCGACTCGAGATGATCTTTGATAAGGTCAATCCAAGCTCGTCTTCCTCAGTCAGCGCAGTTGGTTCCGCCTCCGTGTCACCCGTCTTTGGAACAGGTGCAGGGTTTGAGACGAACTCCATCCCAGGAGTGGTGACTGGTGCCTGACTGTTGTCATCTCGGCTCCGTCCCCGGAGGCGAGTCAGCTTTCGGTGCAAATGTGTCATCGATCTCAATGACCTCGGCGCTTTCCATCGGCTGATCTGCACTTTCCATCTGCACTTTCCATCGGCTGATCTGCAGAGGGCGGAGGCGGCACCACATTCATGTCTTGGTCACCTTTCTCACCTGGATGAAGGGCAACAACCTTGCAGCTTCGATCTCCTCCTTTGTGGCCTCGACCGGATCACCCATTGGTGTGAGGTGGGCAATCTCGTCAGTATCGGACACGGTGACCTTCTATACCCGTGGCCGTCGACTTCCCTGTCCACCAAGAAAGAGGTAGCCCTGTTTGATGCGTCTTTGCCAGGCGTGGTCGGGGGTGGCCTGGCGTCGGGTCTTCTGGCTCTTCTGACCTCTGGGTTTCGCATCGGGGTTTGCGTCTCGACGCCCGCTGGGGCCCGGAAATGATACTCGAAGAGTGCCACATTCGCGTAGTTTTTCACAAACAATGCTCGGTTCTCCTCTGAGTTCAAACAGTGGAAGTTGTCGTACCTCGAACACGAACGAACCATAATGTGGTTCCGGTCACCGAAGTCACTCCGAGCGTCGTGAACACCTCAGCGGTTTGACACATCTGTCGCGCATACTCCTCTGGCAATCCGTAGATCTGGGCATCGCAGTAGCATACCACAATGGCCGCCACATCTTGGCGCTGCCGCAGGTCAGCGAGTCGCCGCATCTGCTGCGCATGCTTCTGGGCGAGCTCTGCCTGCCACTCATAAGCGGCCCGCTGCCTTGTGGGATTTCTACGCAGGACGTTGGTGTCAACCCAAGGGTTGCCAACGAACCCATGATTCCCGTAAATGTCGTTCCCAGCATAGGACACGACAATCACTGCAGGGGCAACACCTCCCGGCGCGCGGCCGCTTGTTGTCAAGGCAGTATTCGATGACATTGATGATATCCTCCAGACCTTTTCCACAGTGCAAACTGTACTGGACGCTGCCGGCTCGATCGGTGAGGATAGAGGCGCCAGCCTCCTTGAGGTACTCACCGACATTGCGCTTCACACGCTGGACGGTCCCATCGGCAAAAGTTTCTTCATCCGCTAATGCCATAGACGAATCACCTGCAAAGATGAAGTCGACCACGGGTCCCATCGGGCAAGGAAGCTGCGTCATCAGACGCGCCGGATTGCTCTCAAGGAACTCTTGATGAGCTGCGTCGATGCGGCCCAGCGACTTAGCGCGTGCATCAAAGGGATCAGCACCGCATGTTGCATCCAAATGACTACGGCCATCATGCATCGACTCCACAAGGTGCGCAAGCACCGCTGTCCTCTTCAGAAGATCCTTCCAGTTGCCATCGTTGCGAGCCTCAGTCGGCTGGGATGAAGGGTTGATGTACATCCCAGGGTGGTTCATGAGGAAATCCACGGCATCAGTCTCGCAGCCGAACATAGAGG